TTTGTAACAACCCACCAGTGTTGCACCTTTGGCAAAAGTGGTTTTAGGTCCAAAGATCAGCGCTGGGACAAGCGACCTGCCTGTGGCAAACAAGAGCCTGCAGAGTATAAAACCCCGGTGGCGCGGTGGAACACGGGACAGCCCGAGCCGCGCTGAGGGGCCGCGGCTGCACGGGAGGATGGAGGCCAGCATGAACCTCCTGCACGACGCGGGCATCCAGGCAACGTGCTGGCTGCAGGAGCACTTCCAGGGCTCCCAGGACTGGTTCCTCTTCATCTCCTTCGCCGCCGACCTCAGGAACGCGTTCTTCGTCCTCTTCCCCATCTGGTTCCACGTCAGCGAGTCGGTGGGCATCAGGCTCATCTGGGTGGCCGTGATCGGTGACTGGCTCAACCTCGTCTTCAAGTGGTGAGTGGCCCTGTGCCTTGGCTCCCTCTGGGCGTGTTGGCACAGCTGGATTGATGTGAGCCAGATGTGCGCTCTCAGCCTCAACACTGGTGTGAAACAAAGACCAGAGTTTGGCCCCTGGGCTGGCAGTGGTCACGGCTGGCCCCTCCTGAGCCGCGTGGCTACCGAAAATTCCCAGAAGCCGGGCAGAGACAGATCCTGCTGCAAATAACCCCTTCGCCGCTGGCTGCGGCTGCGGTTCTGCGCGGGGGCTGCACAGAGCCCCTCACCACAGGGCTCTGATATGTGGGACCGGGGCTTGGTGCTCCCCTGATATTTTAGGCGAGTGTTTCCCATGGGTAAGGCAGGACACTGGTAACCGCTGCCTGTCCATGGCTGGGAACGCTGGCGTTGCTAATGCAAAGGAAGCCATGGTAGGACGGTGGTCGATGCCACTGATGCCACCATGAGACAGTTGCTCTTGGCCTGAAAAAGACTTAGGGGGGACAGACACCACTGCTCTTTCTCAGCACGTGGACTTGCTCCCAGGGAGTTCTCGCTCTTCCTGTGCAGGGGCTGGGGATGTGGACAGGCAGCGTCGGCTGTTGGGACCAGGTGATCAGCTGGCTGCTGTGTCTGTCGGGGCACCCTGGATCGCTCATGGGTCCTTTGCCTCTTCCAGCTCCCAGGCCAGAGCTGAAACCACAGCCATGCCCACCTGCTCTGGTGCCCAGGACCCCTACAGCCCCGATCTCCTTTCTTTTCAGGATTCTCTTCGGGGAGAGACCATACTGGTGGGTCCACGAGACGGACTATTACAGCAACACCTCCACCCCAGAGATCCAGCAGTTCCCGCTCACCTGTGAGACCGGCCCCGGTAGGGTCCCCCCACCCCAGTAGGGTCTCCCGCCCTGGCAGTGTACAGCTCCCCACTCAGGTCTCCGTCCCCCCAGGGATGGGGATGCTGGCACGGCCAGGCAGTGGCTGGCAGCCCACCGGCAGCACGTGCCCATAGCTAGCTCTCGAGAGAAGGCCATTCTCGCCGAGCTGTGGTGGTGGCCGGCGCCGGTGCGGGCCCCCCGGGC